TTTTATACATAGTTTTTAAAAATTTTAGACATCATACGTGAATTAAGTGATGACTGATTACCTGTATTTGGTGCAAATTTGATTTGAAATGTTAAAAGAAAAAAAATAACGGTTCCGTAGACAATGATCAAAACATATCAAAGAAGTTTAGAAGAAAAATAGGTTGTATTAATACTCATAATTTATTATTGTATTATTGTATAAAAGAATGCAAACTAATACTAAATACTCAAATTTATTATTTTAGATTTTGCGTTACCTATATATTTGTAGTTATTTGAAAATTATATATATATATATAATACCAAGGAAGTGGACTATAAAGGTTCGTTTACATTATAGACCGAACATGAACGAATCGCGAATGCTACCGATTACATTCGTATGCGAATTCGTTGACAATTCGGTCGTTTACTGTGTTCGGGACTATTCGTGTTCGTCCGGGCTTTTTTTTTCCAACATTCGCATTGAATTCGCTTTGAAAACCAATTATTCAAATATTCAGTTGTGGGTTCGAAGTCTCGAACATAACAGAATCAGAAATTACAGTTGAATATTGTTCTAACTGAACGAGCATTTTCTTTGGTCGTATCGCCATCCGAGCGAGCGTCACCGAACGCAAACGAATCGTTCGGCGTCCATTCGCTCGCATTGGCAAACCGTTTACATCACAGCATTATCGGTACGATTCGATCGCGTTCATTCGCGTTCAGACTATAATGTAAACGCACCTTAAGAATACGTAAGAAAACCAAGCTTTTAAAATCGGATGATATCCTATGTAGATAGTTGATATTGTAAATCCTCTATTATTAAATAATACAAACATTTCTATTGAAAAACCTTTTTTGTTTAAATAAATTTATAAATATTTCATAATAGTGTTTTTATATATATTTGAGATGATTTTGCTCTTGTTAAATAAATTAATTTGACGTTATTTTGCATTTCTACAGTTGTTTGATCGGTTTAAAAACCGTTATTTTCACTGTTGTAATGTAATATTATACTAAGTGTAACAGTATACCAAGGACGCTAAGACATTGTAATGGCTTATCGTTGCCTTCTGAAAAGGGGGGGGCGGTTGTCTTATTCTCTGGACAATTGCTTACCCAGAGAGAGATAGAGAAAGCAAAATCGCCCTAGGCAAGATTTGAGGTTTGAACCGGAGACAATGCGCATCTGCACTACTACTTTATTCACTTAACCACCCCTCAACCCACCTTTCACAAAAAAATTATGATTGCCATATTAAATTAAAGCTACAACATAAATAAAATAATTTGGAAAAATATTGAATCATTCAAAATACGAAAGTATATAAATTAACTGTTAAATAAAAACTCATCAATAAAAGTAAATAAAAACAGGATTAGTTTTTATAATACATCATAATACACGTAAATTTAATTTGGTAATGTAAAGCACAGTTAATCAAACACACTCATATTTTTCAATGTTTAACGTGATATAATTATTGGGTGAATTAGATTTTATAATATTTTATGATAAATTAAATCACTGTCGTCCTCATGAGGATAAATACAATAATATGACAAATAATTTTTTTTGATGAAATAGAATTATTTCATTAAAAGGTAATAGTATTTGTGAATACACATATATATGATTATCCATTGAGATAATATTCAATATGTAAAGAGATAACAAGCATATTGAAATGATTATTTTATTACATGCACGTATCTTTAAAATACTTATACGTATTTTAAACAGTTATCTATAATTTATATACAATAATTTTGTGGATATAAAGAATCAAATTTTTTTTTTTAAATAATTTAAAAATAATTTGATAACTTATATATCTTCATGTACAAAAATTTAAATAAATTAAATATCTTAACTTGTCATTAAAGTATTGTGGTAATTATTTTTTATAATAGCTAGTATAAATATTATTTTATATCTTAATATCAAATATGTATAATATACATTGTACAAATGTTACCGGCAATATGGATAATCCGGTATTTTGCAAAATGCCTAGGCATTATATAAAATGCCAAAAAACTCGGAAATATAATAATAACATAATACGAGCTTTGCCTAGGTAATATGTATAATGCCAAACGTGGAGTAGGCAATATTATGAAAATAAACAAAATTGGGCATCACCTATTACCAACGACTTTACTTACCGTTTATCATAAATGTGAGTGCACGATTTAACGCAATAAATATTAAGATTCTTTTACTACTATAATAATAAATCTGAGGTACAATATTGAACGTAATAATAATTTTTCTCGTAATTTTCGTGTTTCGTTATGGTGTTGCAACTATGGATACGATTTATATGAAGTCAAATTTTTATAACAAACTACAAATTTTTTTTAAAAATTTGCCACTATTACTAGCTTTTTATCTGATGAAAAGTATAATGAGTTGATAAAAATTCAATCCAAAAGAATTGGCCAAGGATTTTTAAAATATATTTTTAAGTCTAAGTGTCAAAATAAAAAGTGTATTTGCCTTACTAATAAAATATTGTGTACTTCAAAATGTTACTTTTCTAAAACTTGTTATAATAAGTTAAATATTTATATAATAGTAATAATATAATAATAATAGTAAATAATAGTAGTGAGTGGTAACTGCTGGTATAGAAAAAATTATTCAACGTATTTAGTTATCACAATACTCTGTTTAGATAACAGTCATCCATCTATTGTTTTGATACCTCCACCTTAAAAAGAAAAAATGCAAATTGGAAAGATGTATGCCCAAACATACTTCATACTTACGCCACGGATTCTAGCACACATTCCGTTGTACTGCGCGTAGTCCATTGAATACTGCACTACAAGTTTAAACGTGTAAATTGTTTCTCGCCGCTAACTCGGGTGAATAACAGGCCGCCGCCTCTTCCAGAGCACGTGGTAATAATAATTATTTTACCTATTGGAATAATGCGGCTGAACAATGCACGTGCGTTGCACGGGTATCAAAACGCATTATTTAGCCCGTAAAACGGATAACCCTTTCCGTGTTGTGCGCATCATCGGAATTCCGGGCGATAGGGTGCTGCGGAATAGTAGTGGCAGCGTATGCCATAAGTTCGCGATTACCTGACTGCGTGTACACCGCCGCCAGAAGAGACGAACCAATTGAAGCCGTTTGTTCGACGAGGGTGCACGGGCAAATAGAGAGCCCGTGGATCCAATCAATACAATATTATGCAGGTATATAAATAGGTGCGTAAATGCGATGACGAGGAGAGGTGGTGAATGATTAATAATACTCGACCGAATAACATTATCGTTATGTTAGTTTGGAAAATTACTGCTATAGTTATTATTATTATTATTATTATTATTATTATTATTATCATTATCGTTATTAATATTATGTACATATTCACCCCACTTGGTACGCTTTCGAGTCCATTTTTATGTGTACTCGGAACTGAAACGACTAAATACGCGATTCGACGGGTTATATGTATATAATACTCTTATACAGGCACAAATACTACATGAGTGCATAATAATGAACGCGAAAAAATAAAAATAAAATCGTTCCACGAGGAAATATATATATTTATTATGTTTATACATCGATAAACACCGCTGTATCTCATTCCCTTCAGCATATTAAATTGTGGATGGGTGTTATTATTATTTTTTTTTATTGCCTATTTTCGTTTAACATTTCTACAACTCGTATATGTGGAAAAAAAATCCATAGTAATAATTTTGTATTATTACATTTTTTTATTGGTTTTTTTTCTTTTCTCTGTGTATTACGTGCACCTTTGCTCTTGTAACGGCTCCACATCATTATATTTAATATATATAAATAACATGTGTGTATATATGAACTATAATATAGATATATACATAATTATTATTATATTGACCGAATTTTATGAATAATTAAAACAAAACTATTCCTACATGCTGTTCCCTCGTTTTAAATCACCTATTACGCAATCAGCATAGTCGTATGTATATGATTACGATGCGTATTCAAACACTGGGATTCATCATAATATATTTTTTTTTTTTATTTTTTATTAAAAGAACAAAAAGACCGCGGCAGCTCTGGCCATTGGTCAGACAGTGACTTAAATAAATTACATAGTTACATATTTATATGATTTTATGTAATATATTGTGTTTATTCGATACATATATATATATATATATATATATATTTATTTATGTATAGTTTTATTCCAATGATATACCTCGACAATACCATAATAGACAGGAGGAGATTAATTTCGTTTATTATTTCATCGAATTTGTGTGCGCACGACATGCTTCCTAATCACAATAGTTATCAGGCATTTCAAAAGAGTTAATCCCAATAAATCTGAAAAAATAATTAAAAAAATATGACCTTACTATTACCTTTGTTAGCTAAAAATAAAGTCTGTTGAAAACATATTTTATCAGATGAAATTGAACTGTGAAGTTTTTTGTTATTCGATTTACTAGGAAACAAACATTTATTTATTTATTTTATTATGCTATTCTATGTAGCTATTTACGACGATTTATCATACAATAAAAGAGTAGTTTTCTTTTCAAACTGTGTGCATTATAGTGTTTTGGTTTTACATTAGTTGAGCTAACAAGATATTACCACATTGTTTCAGGAATTTCTGGAATGTTATATTTAGTTCGAACTTATATCTTACTGTAACTATATACCATTGATTATCAATAATAGCATTGTTAACATGAAATAACTTAGATACTTTATCAAATATCAAATAGAATCTATTACAATACAAACCGCCTATACACTTATTGTGTTAGTAAATTACCATTTTTTTTTTTTTTTTTAATTAATATACAATATAATGACAAATTATATATTATTTCTTCTCTTTGAAATCAAATAAGTTGATGTGTTCTTAAAATATGTTTTTGTAGGTATATGATTTAAATAAGCGTTAAATCTAGAATTATTAAAAACATCAAAAAACATATATTTGCTGTTCATGCAGACAAAATATTTTACACACGAAGATAATATAATATAATAATTACGTATAAATGTACTTAAAGTTTAAGTAATGGAGTTGATTTTCATGAATATATAATAAATGGCAATAATATTTTCTACCACAAATGTTCCGATGAATTAAAATTTTTGATTGTTATCTGTAGAAAATAAATCATTCAAAATAATATTCAACGCTTACATACATAGCACCTATAACCGTATTTCGTAAGTAACTTAATTTACCATAACATGTTTAACAAAATATAAAATAATAATAATTATAATAGGTTGTATTAATAAAGGAAAGTATCGTTTAAATAAATTGGTTAAGTGTTTTTTGGAAGTCTTGTAAACATGCCAATACTTGAGCGGACGATGGCCTTTCTTCTGGATTAGGTAACCAACAGCAAGTCATCATCCCAAATCTACAATAATAACCAGTATTAAAGTTTATACTCCAGTTTATTAGTTTTTATTTTCATTTATTTGCATCATCAAGATAACTTAAGGGTCACGATTTTATTCCATTGAATAGCTCGTTAAGATTGATGTTCTCGCTTATAGTTAAGTGAATAAAAAAAATTAACCCCTATGAAGAAACCTTTTATTTGGATGGTATCCAGATTAATGTAGTTTGATGATATTTTTTGCTTTATAAGTACTTACAAGTCGTCTGGGCAGTTGATTGGTTGTGAGAGTCTGTATCCTTCTTGCAGGTAAAGACTCAGGTCATACGGATCGATTTCTGCGTAAGGTTGAGCACCTAAACATACCAGTTCCCAAAGCAAAACACCAAATGACCACTGTAGAAAAAAATGAAAAATTGATTTTTCAGATATACTTATAATAGAATATAATAAATATTTTTTTAATAATTTTTGTAAATTTTAGTTTTAAATACAATTCCAATAATAATGGTGTTGCAATTTTTTTTCTATTCAAATAATATGGATTCTACGTATCCTTTGTATTCAAATAATAGGTAGATCTCAAGTTGTAATATAATTCAGTTTAATCTACTATAACATAAAAATTATCTTTTTTTACTTTTAAAGTTTTTTATTTTAATTTACAAACTTAATTTTACAAAACTTATATTAGAACTATGTATTTGAAACAATTTTATAATTGTTAAAGTGTAAGGTCGATATTTATTATTATATCTTATACTCGTAATATGTTTCAAGGTTGTATCTCAATCGGATTTATATCAAAATATTTGATTTTATTGGTTAAAAAAAATCAATGGAAATATTTCCAGAAGACATGATGTACACTTCAAATGTATGCCCATGGTTTCAGTGGATGTCGGAAGTACATCAAATTATAAAAATATTTTATCGCTCGATCGCCAATGAAAATTGTTATTTGAAAATATTGAAAAATATTAATCTTTCAACACAATTTGTTAACGACACAAGTCAAAATACCTAATATCGTATATTATTGATCAAATTAAAAATCAAATTATCAAATTATTTATTTTATATTATTTTTAGATTAACATTACACCCAAAAGTTGCTTAATGGTTGATTGGTTGTCGACACCAAATTTTTAAATATATCTCATATTTTTTTTTTTTTTTTCGTATTCAATTAAAAATAAGAACAGATTGAAAAATACAAATACGTTTATTTAAATTTTTCTGTAGTTTTTTTAAAATAATTTAGAAAACGTTTTTAGTTTTTAGTACATAATTGTCTTATATAAGAGGTTTTTTTTCTTACAGTCTTATAAATTTCAAAATCCTACCTATAACTATAATAATAGATGATATAATTTTTTTTTTTTTTAAAAAAAAAAAAAAATTATATCATCCATTATTATAGGTTAGATTATTAGGTATGATATAATTATTTTGATGAATAAATTGAATAGTCTAGTCTATATATTATAGTAGTACAGATTTTTGGAATTTTGGACATTTTACGTATTATAATGTATATTATTTATTGAAAAGAATTCCAGCAATATAAATTTAATAATAATAATCAATTTTGATAATTTTTCAAAGAAAAATCGGTATCTAGTTATGATAATATAGTTTCCCCTGATTTTGAGGTACAATTTATTAATTTACTTAAAAAAAAAAAAACGCTTCATTTAACCTTTGTTGTTAAATTGAACGAAAAAATACAAAAATAATATTTTTTCCAATCATTTTTTCTTCTACTGTCTTGATTTTTTATCGATTTAACCACTCATTATAAATAAATTATTCTTAGTTAATATATAAGACGTAAGAAATATAATAGTAATATTTTCCCTATATTAAAATTATAATGAAATAAAACGCATTTATTCTTATCATTATCCAGTTTATTCTATTAATAAAATTGTAATATTATTTATCGAATTTAGTTTCACTAAGTTAAAAATCTCCAAATAGATATTGAATTAATTTTTCTTTTATTACGTTTAAATTTTTTTAAATTATTTTTAAAATATACAAATTTAAAATAATTTACATCAATAATAAGTCATATTATTACTTTACTTACGCTTAAATATTTAATATTATAATCAAACTGGTTTCTGGTATAATAGAAAATTATGTAATTTAATTTAAAAACAGCAACTTTTAAGTATTAATTCCATAATGATAATAATGGTTGAGACTAACTGTTACACTAAGTTTTAATAAAAATAAATAAAAAAATTATTAGTTTCTATTGAATACATGAAATTGACTTATTAGTAGATTAAAATTAATTAATATTTTGCAAAACTCAGGTTTAAAATTACCGGTAAGTGGTATTTTCTGTGATTATAAAACCAGCCTACAGTTTAAATTTTTTTTTTATTTTTTTTTTTTTTATCAAATACCCTTTTATTTGGTAAGTTTATTATAATTGGTGGAAAAACTTGGTGATTATATAAAATGTCTTACAATAAAAATATTTAATTTTCAGTTGACCGTATTATTTACCCCATCTCATACTCAAAGTATAACTAAATAACGATGTACAATATATTGTACAGTACTGCTACTTACCATATCCGAAGCACCGTTGTAGGTGCGTAAAGTAATACTTTCTAGTGCCATCCACTTGATAGGTCGGTTTTCATTGTCATTTAGACAAGAATAATCGTCAGGGAACAGGTCTCTGGACAATCCGCTATCAGCCAGCTTGACCCGCAACTTTTCGTCCACCCTAAATGTATACACCCACACAATACGTATTTATAGTGATTATATACAACGCCTAATGTTAGACTCAAAAGGAATTATGGGAATTATGAATGAACGATAACGCAGTGTTATGAGAAACTTAAGAGGTAACTCGTTCAATAATGTGTATAGGACATCTTAATAATCTTATCAAGTTATTTTTGAAAGTAACTAATTTTTTTTTTTTTTTTTAAGGAAATAAAGCTACTGATTGTTAGTTAAAATTTTGAATATTTAAAGTAATTGAATTACAATAAATATATTTTATTTTTAACAAAACGGTTTTTATAATTGTTCTTAGCTGGAACTATTTGAAATACTTAATAAAGTTGATACGTGGTTCAAAATTATTTAGTCTAGTAATAATTATTTATAATAAGTAACAAGTTCTCTTAGAGTCTCCAAATCAGATAATCACCCTCTTTAAAAGTTACTACATTCTTGATTTAATGTAAAAACTGAGATTTAGGATCTTTTAAAATCAATAAACAGTAACTACTTTTGGTTTCATAAGGAGAATAATAAATTTAATTTATTTTGGCTTTCGGCACATTAATTATAACATTTGATAAATTTGTAAATTTATTTATCATGTCATTGAAAATTCAAAACAAATTAATATTAAATTGTTTTTATAACTATATGAAGAAGTTAAATATTTAAATAACGTAGATAATGTTTTAAATTTAAATACAATTTAACATTAAAATACAATTTATTTAGAAAAGTGAAATAAAATATTAAATGTTAATGCATATCATTTTTCTATATAGATTTCCTAAATTGCTAAAAATGTAATTAAATTTAATAGTGTTTTATGATTATAGGTACACATTTATCCCAATATATGTTACCTTTACTTTCAAAAATACAATTTTAGTTTATTTTTTATTTTACTGTCCCATTTTAATTAAAAAATAAATTGCATTTTTCTTCACATCAAACGCTAAAATACTATGGAAAAATAATCCTAGCTTTTTAAATATATATTACAAACTAATTTTAATGGCAATTTCATAACAGTGGTAATTTATTTTGTAATATTTTTTTTTTACATAAAATCAAAACTTGATAGAAAAATAAATAACTTGTTAAAAAATAATAAATTTTGATATCAATATAATTTGTTTGTTACGTATCAGGTTCATAAGATGTTAATAGAAGATAAAAATATATTTTAAAAAATTAATGTATTTTCTTACCTTTTAGAATGTATTGAAGAAAAAAATTAATTTAGTGTTGAATTAATTTTCCTGAAAATGTCTAAATCACTATTTATATTTAATATACGCTTATTTTGTTTTTTTTTTTGTAAAAAATGAGTTAGGTATAGAGTTTAATACATTTTTCAAAATTTGTCGACTACCCAGGACAATATAATTTTTGTTCTGCACTTCAGTAGCTAGTTTATTATTAAAATCTAGGTACAATATACTACACTATTGTACAAATTTAATCAAAGTGATCTACAAACATGTATATACATATATATTACTTACACACAATTCCTGGCAGCTATGTCCTTATGGCAAATTCCTTGGCTGTGAAGGAATACACTGCCGAGACTAAGTTGTACGGCCATGTTGACAATATCTTGCGTAGTCAAGTTGTAGTAGTCGTTATTTTTCTTTTTGCAATCGCAGAGAAACCTATATCATGAAAGTTTTATAAGTTTTATGCGTGTTTACAACGTTAACATTACTACAAAATATGAATAAAATAGGACTATTTACTTTTTAAGATTCCCTTTGTTACTAAATGGAAATAATACCATTGGTGGTTTATTCGAGTACTGGCATACAGCTATTGGCAGCAAGATGTTTACATGCTTCGGAACACCGTGTAACATTAGGCTTTCAGTCAGAAACATTTTAATTTGTTGAGATGCAGCATCGACTGTGAATCAAAATAATATATTGATATTAATTATTAACAAGAACATAATGATTGTATAATATTAGACGTAACGGTATATTAATTATTAAACAATAACAAATAACAATAATAATAATCATATATATGTTTATAACGTTGAATTATAATAACGATAGATATATTCAAAGAAAAAAATAAATACTATCATTAGATAAAATACTATAAATATTTCCATCGTCATATCAAAAGTAAAAATACTGAAAAGTTATTTCAGAAGTAAACAGTTCGTGTATATTTTAAATCGCTCATATTCAGACCCAGTAGACAGCATAAATTTAAATCATGTCTGACAATAAATTCCACAGGGAATTATTTCGAGGGGACCTGTATTATTATTATTATTATTACAATATATATTATATATATACATATATATTTCATTAGCCTCTACTCCCTTTGTCTGTAACTTTCTCGTTCTCTTGAGCTAACGTTCAAAGTAGCCCTTTTACTGAGCTAATAATCGACAACGATTGAACTGGAAAACGTATGCGACCCTCCAACATAAAAAATAAAAAAATAAACTGTACAAAATGCAAGGATCAAAATAAATGGTTCATGCACGAAATTCCAAAGAGTTATTAACATGTAAAAGATCGTGATGAAAATAAATCACGCTCATGAGTTTCACCATTGTATGGGTAGATACTTATGTAATACTCGTACACCACATTGCTGTAAACTGAGGTTATGCTTTATTGTAATTTTTTTATGTAAAAAACAAGTATGATGTAATATAGTTTTTTTCTATGTGTAAACATTTATGTTTAATAGAAAGTATATAAACTGAATATGGAAATATTTTAAAATTACAGAAAGTATTTTCTCCAATATTTTCATGTTAAAAAAAATGTTATTTAGTTTTCGTCTCAATCATTCTCAAGGAGCAGTACATTTCTTCTTTCAAAAATACATATTATTAATACTTTAAAATAAACAAGCCAAAATAATCTGATCATGACATTTTTAATGAAAACGCATTATTATTATTATAACTTGATCCATAGTTATAAATACATTGAATAACAATTATATAATAAATAGTTGGTCTAAAGTAAAAATAGAACATATAAATTCAAACTAGTTAATTTCAGTTGCAAGAAAATAAATTGTTACCAAGAATGTAAACTAAATGAAATAACTATAGAATAACAATTTAATGGGTAATCATTATGCGTTCTGTTTTATATTTTCATTTTGAAAATAATAATTATCATCTTAGCCTTTTTATTGCGTTATTATATACAATTATATCTTCATTTCAAAAACTCAAAAAGTAAAACACATACTAGGCATATTAATAAAGTTAAGTTTGATATAATTTGAAAATGGCACAAGTAATTGGGAAAATAAAAGTCGTGAAGTAAAATATAAAAGGGATGTAAAATATTAATGGAAATAACTATTATTTATGTATAAATGATCAATAGTGGAAGTAAAAAAAAACTGTTAGCTTTGACATATATTTTTGAACTGTTTGAACTATTCGTATGTATACATACTGGAAAATATAATATATACATTGTTATACCAGAATAAAGGATTCCGTCTCTCAATAGCAGTAGGTAGATATATGGAATGTATCGATATGCGAGTGAGGAAAAATATGAGAAAAGTGACCTGGGTGAATCCATCAGATATGTTCCGTTTACCGAGAAAATTCTAGACCGGAATACATAATCGCACAGTACCTACGTCAATATAACGAGACTAGGTATTACGGATATCGTGTTTACGTTGGTTCGTGCATGGTGGCCAGGTGAAGCGAACAGGGCAGAGTAGAACAAACATTTCCCCGGGACCCGAGCAAACACAGCCTCCAGGTAATATTTTTATCTCGTTAGGGATTAAGTGCTGACCGGAGGGGAAATTGAATATACGTGAATGAATCGAAATCTCCCAGGCGTCTCCGGCGGCAGAGACCTTTACACGGTGCGAAACATCCGCATGAGGGGAATTATGAAGCTTTTATTTTTACGTTATTCCTTTCGATTTTTCTTTTTTTCCCTCCCTCCCCTATCTATTCATACATTTTTTTCTTTGCGAGTATTTGCGAGTCGTTCAGTACAACGACGTCACATTCCAAGTAGCGGATATTACCGAAAATATGACGAACATGAAGGGAGGAGGAGATCGTGAGATGATGAAACAGTAAGACTGAGATTGAAAATTGGTTTCGTCTTCGATGAAATGATTTTTGTGGACGACAAAAGTTATCTTTTCAGATAAACGTGCAGGTACACTGCAGACCCGAGGGACTCCAAGTTGATCAAACATAAATTGATCTTGTTTGGTTTATTTTTTTTTTTATTTTTTTTCTGTTGAAGTCAAATAGTAAACGATTTCGATGCAATAAATATAATATGAAACAAAAGCAATCGTTTATAATTCATCACAGTCTGATAGGTTTTCAAAAGGGCCAGAAGTTGAAAAGCCTACTAAGGTTACTATCATCCGTTTCAATCAAATGGATCAAGTAGTTTTTTGAATATTTTATTGGATTTCATCTTACAATTAGAACTTTTATTTTTAACTTTAAGATAATTTGTGTTTAAAGAAATAATCGTTAACTAAAATAAATAATTGTTAGTTTTGAAAATAATTTATTTAGTTAAAATTTGATAAATAAAATTTCAAAACACATATACATAATTTTATAGTGATTATATTTTAATACAAATCATTATAATTGGTTTAAGACAATGAAATGAGACAGTAGATACATCGCATAACACTTAATATTATTTTCCATACATTAAAAATAGTATTTTAGTTAGTTATTTAGTTTAAAAGTGTTATTTTAAGTTGTAGCTAGTTATACCTAAATATTTTAATACACGAATTGATTGTAATAGATTCTGAAAAAAGGTCATACTGCTTTTTTCTGCAGTTAATACGAAATTAATTTTACCAATAGTATCATAACTTAAAATTTAAATTTAACGTATTCATCAGTTATTAGAATTAAAATTAATCGTATTATTGAGTCAGTATTGAAATGTAAAAATACTTAGTTCTATTTTTTTAATATTAATTTATCTTATTTTCTATTTATTTTTATTACTTAAATAAATTAAATAGTATTATATTTGTTTGACGGAATAAATTACTTATATTTAACTTATATTTTGGGTAGTGTTAAAATTATAAGAAATCGTCTATTTTAAAAGATCTTAAAGTGCGGCTGTAAACAACTTAAAAAATAAGGCCTCATTTAATAATTTTAGTTATTATTACAATTTGAAAAGTATTATATGTTATAATTAGAGCTGGGATTCCGATGGACTTTGCATTTTTTTCTGAAGCTTTCTGTACAATGCTCGTTTTGTTACAGATATGTTTTAGGTGCTTTTAAATTAGAATAAGAAATTTTATTTTGCATTCTTTTGTATTTTTTGACAGTTTTTGATTTCAAGGTCATTTTTCTTATTTTTTAGGGCATTTTAGGGGTTTTTAAGTCATTTTTGGTGTTTTTGAATTTAAAATTATAGATTATAGATTTTTTCTATCGACGGATTAGTGTTGTTATGTAAGGTATACAATGTAAAAGTTGCTGTTGATAAACGTTTTATAATACAACATATAAATTAAGTACAACGAAGAGAACAAATTGAAGAACAAGAAAAAAATATGTATATTTACAAAAATTTACTGTAGGTATTTTATTGTATTGTAGTATAGTAGTATATTATTTTATTGTAGGCATATTTTAGGCATTTTTGAGTTTTTTAAATCATTTTTGCATTTTTTAAGGTAATTTTTCGTGATTTTTAAGAAAATTAAAATCCCAGTTCAGTTCTAGTTATAATTCACAATTTAATATTTTAAATTAAAAAAATAATCGAACTGACATGGCAACCTAAATCTTTTGATTGCTTACAAAACCAATTCAAATTCAAAATAATTATTCAACGTTTTCTTTTACGAGTAGTAGCTAATATTTTTGAGTATTTTGCTGTTTATTTACAAAGTTTTATACGCAGTAGTTAAGTTTTTTTGTTGAAAATAGTGAATACTAAGTTTCGAGTACTATTAAATATAATAAATTACTATAAATCTAAAAACATAGTTTTTCCATAGTTGTGAATAAAGTAAATTTATTATAATTCACCATACAATTATTTTTGTCTTTATAATATCTAACAAAAAAAATTTCTATTATACCTTATAAACAAGAATCATATATATATATATGTATGTATTGATATCCGAAAATAGAATACTAGAATACATTACTAGAACGAATATTTTGAAGGGTTGAAAGCGTCATCGTTACGAATATAACACATTTGAATGTATGATGTATATTTTTATTTACACAAGAAAAAGTAGGCGCAATTTATCGCAAATGCTAATGGTATGTAAATTTCTATTCTTGTCAGCAAATATTCAGCAAAATAAATCAATTTTTCATTTGATATAGCATCACACTTATGCCTTATATGCATTATAATACTATTCTGTTGCATTCGATTTACAATATTTTTTACAGAAACTTCATTCACTGATAATATAATCGATTAGTAATACAGTTTTAATAAAATATGAATTGTTCGTACAATGAACATGGTATTATACTACAATATTAAATATTAACTGAAAATATAAAGAAACACGTAATTTATAACTTAAGTTTATAGGTATAATCAAGGCACTGCATGCACTTTTTTGTTATCATACACAATGCGTGCAAATATTTAAAAATTAAACTAAGATTTTATAATCATATACAAAACAAAAGAAACTTGACCTATATTTTTATCCTTCCGATATCTTCTGAAAATCCTCAAAAATTACTTATACGTTTTTGTTTTGATGACATGAATCATAAACAATAATTTCATACATTTTCTTTTATTCTTTTTTTTCTTCATCAGACTGATGACTGATGGTTATTTTATTAATATTTTATTATTTTAAAAATCAATTTTACGAAAGGTAATTGATTAATTATTCAATACTTTTTTAGCAATATTAATTCTAAATATAAGGAAAAGATAAACTATATTTATGACACACAATGATATTCGATAAAATAAAATGGTTAACAAGTGATCCAAAGAATAGAGGACGACTTATCTTTCTACGAAGTAATTAAACGCTAAAGTCCCTTACAACTTGAGCATTGATCTACGTGTATAAACTATGATTATAACATTATAATAGATCCATGCATTAAAACTTACCCGTTACAGTTTTGACAAGCACTTCTTGAGATCCACCGCCGTTTTTCTTGTATACGCCTTGATACACTTTACTAAAGGCACCCTCTTGGTATAGCCTTTCCAACTTAACGGGAGCGCCACGAGAATCCAGCATGCGTATACGGTCATCTAAGTCATCACACATTCTCCGATCGTTAACGGCCATCTAATTGTAAACAATGAGTATCCGAATGCATTACTTTCAGACCGGAAATTAGCGTCGAATAATTTATCACATGTGAGGATGTTATATGGCCTATAGGGATGCAGAGTAGTAGGTCCGAATCCCTGGTGCAATAATCATTAGGGGAACGTGTGCATTAACGACATAGTTTACGAATTAGTCATTTATGAGAGTTGATTTTAGTTCAGCCACACTTTAGTTTTATTTAATTTTTTCCTACCGATCACTCATTATTATGACGAATGAAAGGTATTTGATGACATATTGAAATAACGACGGTTTTACCTTTCTCTGCTCCAAACTGTCAAAAGCTAAAAAAATATGATTGATGGAATATGGAAGGTCCTTTAACCCAAAATCTTTAATGGCTTTAATAAACACGACAACGACTTTTGCCCACGTCACGATGTCGTTTTGGCAGAGCTCCACTTAAAGTTTCGTCCGAACCAAAAAATAAAAATGAAAAAAAATAATAAAAATGTGCCAGGACATTGATTCAAGGCATTATCTATCGGGGTAGTTGTGTTTCTAATCCTGTTAAATGGCTCGGTGCCCATTTGCCGGGTGGGAATCGATTATGGCCGCGACCGCGAGGATGATTTATCTACGGTAATGGGCCTAAATCACGCGAAACGATTTTGCGTAATGATCGTGTCACACAGGGGGAAAGTGTAACCACGGTTTATTGATTTTTGGTCCACGTTGTAATTCGATAAGAATAGATGTAATGGTGAAGTTGATGGATACATATATACAATACGTAAAACATATAACGGTGTTTTAGTGTTAATTTATGTATCTAATTTATGGATTATCGTATAACAGAGAAAATCTCAAACAACAGGACACACGTGATTATATGAAAATTACCGTTAAGTAACAAATGACACTAATAAATGTACATGCCATAAATAAACCAATATATATATAGGTCGGATTATAATGTACGAGTATTATAACGATTAGTATTGTGATCAACTTTATGTAATTTCTAATAAATAGTGTATAAATATAGGCGCAAGATATTATTTAATATTTTTATAATATTATATTTTTGAATTTATTGTTTTTAAAAAGTGTTTATTTTTTTGAAATGTTATACTATTTGAATTTGTTGAAAACCAGGAATAATAATATCCAGTACTTCAATACATTATGAGAAATATGTTTTTAAATTAAAAACAATAATAAGAAGAAAAGGAATATGTTAATAAATAAAAAGTTTTCATGAACCAAAAAAAAAAAAAACATACTGTATAATATCCCAGTGATAAAAAAATAATTGTATACAAATTAATTTACAAGTCAAATGTAAGACTAATCGTTAGAAAAGCTTTATATTTTTCAAAATAATAATTACAAAGTTCACCAAAACAACATAAATAATAACTGTTTCAGTCAACAAAGACTTAGTTTGTAAACAGTAAAAACAATAATTGTTTTTACGGTTTCTCTTGAATGTTAATTTATCATCCGAATAATAAAGTAATCAACTTAGAATTTACAAGTCCATTAATTGATAAAATAACTACTATTAAAGTATTAAAAAAAAAAAAATTGAATTAAGTGACAATTTTAGTATAATTGTGCATATAAATTATTTTTCTACTTAATTAATTTAGGTTTCTTATGACAATAAATTATTTTAAACAATACAAAATATTTATAGTAGGAAAATATTTTTTTTGATATCACGGTTTGTAATGTAAAATAATAATAATAAACTAAAGCTATGTTGTAACGTCCTTTGTAAAAATAAATTATCCCTTCTAACTGTATACATTGATGTATATAATATCTCTCTAAACCTCCGGGCTACATTGACAACTCCTTTGTCTTGATTCGCCTCTAACCCATAGGCTTCTTGCAAGTTTCTTCCCTAAATAATCCTGTGCTACCTCTTTCATTATCTGTCTTTACCATGCCTGGTCAACTATGCTTAGGTCTTCCCCTTAAACCTCTGTCCCTTTCTTTTCCTTGTATAATCCCTTTTTTTAGTAATAGGAAGTTTTATAATTCTGTTTATAGCAATCGACTCAAATTATTATACATTTAAATGTAAAATATTTTATGGCTCTTATCATAATAATAAGTTATTTATATAAAAAATATTTCAATGTTTTTGATAATATTATTATAAAACAATTATAATTATAATTTCAATTTTGTTATTCCTTAAAATAGAATATTTATAATTATTTTAAAGTACTTATTTACATAAAGCACTTTTTATACATCTAATATTAAAATTAAAATTATCTTATAATGGAATTAGTATATATGATATAGTGTAGTGTATTGAGAAGTGCACTAACTTAATGGCGTTGTAACATAAATTATAAAAATTATTTTTTTTTGTTAAAAATTTTCAGAATTTGATTTCATTAAAGCGACTTTATACATTATTATATTATTTAAGCTATTATGTGGGTGATAGTGATTTAAAAATAAACACGAATGTGTATAATTGTATAATTCCTAATTACATATTATAAATATCATATTTTTCATTGTGATTCAACTGTAATATATTTTATGGAAGTTTTCATTTTTCAAAGTAAATAGTTTCTTGGCACGCGAAGTGTGTTCATTTTTAATGTTATATTCACGAATATACTTTTGTTTCCCAAGTTGTTGTTTTGACTTATATATTTAAAAAACACGAAAAGGTGTGTTAAGTTTTATTTATTTATAAATAGCATAATTAGCAATAACTAGTGCTATACGATCAGGTAAAATTATCTGGGTATGAAATTTCGACGCTGATGTTTTTGCATAATACAAAACAGTCAACAGCAATATTATTTACAGTCGTATTAATGTCGACATGAAACTAAAGCGAGATATTTACAATTATTTTGTAACGAAATCGTATTTCGTTCAAGATATTGTATTTGTATTAAATTAATAATAAATTGAAGAATAAGTGTGTTGACAGAATCAGAATTTTGCATCAATAGGTCGAAGACCCGTCGTTGGCGGTAAGAATATTGCTGGGTAAAAAAAAAAAACGTGTTAACACGACGCGTGACGAACGGACTTAAATAAACGAATCGGAGACACGTGTGCCGAAGACCGTCGTTTTCACACATTTCCTGCGGATAAGAGTGTGAAAAGATTAACGTTCGGCTATATATTATACAGGGGTGCTATCCAGTGGCGCGTGCCTTGGCATAGTCATAACCCGTTGTGCTGAGTTAAATATTTTTTAAGCTTCTATAAAGGCTGCATATTGTATTAGTGATGATTTTCAGTCGAACCGTTCATAATCAATTGTTCGATAGGTTAACTGATTGGCAGAAAATAATCCATAAACAAATACATTTCAATGGGGTCATGCATTTCTTTTTTTTTCGTCATAAAAACTATTTATTTATTTTTTATTATCTCTTATTATTATTTTTTACTTTTTATTTTTATTTTCTTTGTGTAACCGCTGTGGTATTTATTTATTTATAAAAAAACACTACTTAATTAACATATATTTTAGTACTATGCAATATAAACCGAATATTTATTTACTAAATAAATGAAAATTATAAATAACAATACCTAATTATTATTATAACTTAATAACTACAAGGAAATTTTTATCGTGATGAAAATTACTATCGAGAAGGGACGGCAAACATTGTGTTTATTACGGTTGGTAAAATCTTAAATATGTCGGCACACGGACATTTGATATGCTCAAACTACAAGGACATAAGACTGTATGATGTACAATGGTTACTCGTATTCACAGTTCACATATTTATCTTCTAACGTATAAAATGTCATATGAATAATCACTTACGTTTTACTAAACCATACATAATTATAATAATCTTGGAGTGTAAAATTAAATTTTACGAAAATTGTAAATTTTTGACTAAAAATAGAATTAAATATATAATAATAAATTATTACAATATTAAGCACCAAAACGAAAAGAATATCATTTGAAAAATTATGGTTTTCAAACGAACAAAAAAAAAGATCAATATTTTGTCAAATGACGATTGTCGAAAGTTTAATCGGTTTGCCAGTTAATAGTCTAGAGCTGGATTCTATTAACGTTTTAGGCAACAAAAAATATACCGACCGGAAAAAATAAACGCAAGAAAGGCGTGTCGGTTATACCAGATCCATCCTAAACAAAACGCGCTATCATCAATATTTTCACGATAGGGGCCTTATACCAGACCAACGTAATGGTAAATGATAATTTTCCTATATAAAAACAGGCGGATATACAAGCAACGGTCATTAAACTAGAAAGGTATCAATAGGATTTGTGGTATTACCTACACGTTGAATTTAACCAAAAAAGTTTTCTTTAAAGTGTTCTATAATATAACTACCATAACTTGGATTTCGCAATATGTCTCCGAATAGGACCAACAATGTTTACGCATACATTTTTGTTTTTAAAATAACACTTGACGTTGACAAGCTGGTCCTGCATGATCAAGTGTGGTTCTAATGTAATCATTTCGACGGGTTGCTTCGTCAAATCCCCGCCATACACCGTGTGCATGAATAAAATATATTTATACATACTATTTATATTTATATTATTTGTCGAATCATCCTGTGCACCCTATATATGTGTATGTGTATGTGTGTGTGTGTGTGTGTGTGTGTGTGTTATGATGTTTTTAGGTTTTTTTTCTACTTTAGCAAAATCACTTACCAGCGGCGTGCAAGCGTAATACGATATCTTGGAGGCCGTGGGCGACGCGGGTTTCGAGTAGACGTGATAATTATCGCTTCCGGTGGCCGCCGCTACGTAACTGGTGGCGTAGGGTGACACGTGGCTGCTACTGCCACAGCGAACGTCATCGACAATGTCCGTCGTCGGTCCCGTCTTCCGCACGCTTCTGATTGTCGCGTACGTACTGCCGTTGGTGCTGGTCACCGAGCCGACGCGTACCAACACGTTAGGGTTGGCCACGTAAGCGGCACTTGTGTAACTCGTGCTGGAACAAAGACGATAATGACGATTAAGGTAATGCGATATGATGTTTCAAAAGCACAACGATTTCGAAGAAAAATCTGATGTCTAAGTAAAAATGAACTGAAAAGTATCCGTTTGTACATCGAATCGCAATAAATTATGCTATTTTTCATTATTCCCTCATCAGTGATGTCTCGAAAGATCGTTTCGAAATTTTGTATATTTTTTGTATGACTTGACGACTAAGTTATTTTTATATCATGCATAGATAATTCTTGACCGTTATCAACGTCAAAGTTACACTTACATACTTTTTTAATTGAAATTCATTATTAAAAATAAATATAAAACAAAGGTTAATTTTTTTAAATTTTTATCTAGACACAATTAGCTAAGTCATGCAATGGTGTACCTAGACTCTTATTATGGTAGGTGAAATGTACATTGAATCCACTTTTAAAATGTAAAGTTTCTTATAAAAAGATTATATTTCCTCCACAATAATATTATAAATTGTGACTTTAATAATATTTTATATATTATTGTATATATATTTTACCATATTAATATTTTCATTTAATCTAGTAAACTATAATATTTATAAATAACAGAAATATCACATTTTAATTGAATTCAATTTATATTGAAGTTAATTAATAAGAAAGTTTACTAATAAAGGTGTATTTTGCATTTTTAAAAATCAAATATAATATTATTAAATAATAAATAAATATATTTTATGTTATATAAATTATTATATATGACTTGAGTTAGGATTTCCCCATTTTAATATGCTATTATGTATAAAGTGGGTATATTTCAATTTGAACATAAATCTATACTCGAAATTTATCTTTATTTCAATTAACTAGCATGTATCTTTAAACACAGAATTAATAATGCTTTGTGGCTTGAGAAAAGTAAATCTGGATTAATTTATTGTACTATAGAAGTACTAAGTGTAATTGTAAAAAATATTTGTATTTTTAATTATTTTAATTATTACAATTATTGCAATTGATGAGATAAGAAAAATAATTCAATATCAATATTCTTAACTAATGGGTATTTTTTCGGTCATACCACTGCAAAAATATTGATTTTTATATACCCCAATGTAATAATTAAAAAAAATATCACTAAAAGGTATATCGAAGCTTAATATTTACCGGTATTACGTGATAATTTTCAAACATCAGTAACAAAACATTTATGAAAGATTAATTTATGTGCATTGTTTTATTTTTTATATAACCCTGTAATATTGACCGATTAAGTGGACTTAACAATAATATGTATTGTTTAGTTAACTTGAAATAAAATATGCTGCACAGACTCGTTTTAATTATTATTGTAATGTAAATGCAAAATACCGTTTGTTTGGAATTATTATTATGATTTATTTTATTAAGAATATGAGGAAAATAACGGCTCTTGAAATCAACAAAAGCCAGAAATAATACAATTTTTTATTGATCCCCGTTTAACTACATAAGCAATATTACTTATAAAATTAATTATACGCTGAAAGTTCTCATAATAACAATAGCGTTATAATTTAAAAAATCGAGAACTTGGTAAACATAACATGGATATTCATGTCTACATTATTATATTAATTATATTAAGTGTGTAAAATACGTTATTCTAAAATATTACTTTTATGTGCTAAACGCGTGTTTAATTAGTGTTACTTTACAGTAAAAGCATTACATCATGAGATATGACGTAATAATAAATATGTTAATCAAAATATTTCTGCTATGAAATTTGTATTTAACTGTAAGGATTTGATAAAACACCAACAATCATATAACCACAAAAGCTAGTCTAATTTATTAGAAAGCTTTAAAACGTTTGAAACTAGTGTTTATCACGGATATATGTACAATAGCTGTTTATGTTTATTATTAATAAGTACAAATTAAAAATGAAAAATAAATTTAATATTAATATTAATTTAATATTCCTACACAATAATGATATTTAAGTTTCCAGATTGAAGATAATCAAATTTAAACGTTACTATATGATGGGTGTTCCAATATAAAATATTCCACTTGGGAATTTTAGTTTATATGCATTTTTTTTTCCTCTGCCTAAAAAAATATTTAATGGAGATAGATAAACACCATGAATAATATAAATCTATCAAAAAAATATGACGAATAACAATATTACCATCGACAAATTATGTAACTGAGGATTAAAATGACGATTAAAAGATTGGTTTTAAATAATTTGCTGTGTAGGTACATCAACAAATATATCACTATACTCTTAAAAATTCATGCATCAAAACCTTTATGTGCATATGGTTCCGTAAGTAATTAAATTTTTTCTGAATAAAAACAGATGCAAAATAACCTTTAATTATTACAAAATGCAACTGTGAGCTAGATTTAAAATTAAATTATTTGTTTAGCCTAACTTTTCTGTAATTATTTTTGAACCACCGACACATACACTAAAAAAGAAATTAAAACATAAAAATGATGGATCTTAAAATGTTTGATACGAATATCAATGTGCACATACATAAAAAGCTCATTTTGTCGAAATTTCTCCAAAATAGTTTTTGTAATATGTAAAACATATTGTTTAAAGGCTTTAAAGTTTGAAGTAAACTACAAAATGTTTGATCGAAGTATCCGATGTGCATATTAAAGGTCGTTTACATTAAAAAGTGGGTATTAACAAATTCTTAAGACTAAACATGTTTATTTTTATATAATAAATAATAAAATTTAGAAATATACTTATATATTTAAAACCAATATAATATAATGTTAATTCGTATTTATAATCTGATGTTAGTTATTTATATATTATATTTTATATATTTTTATATTATATATATTTATATATTTCATAGTTATTATATGAATTAAAATTAGTATTTAATTAATCGTAACTGAAAAACAATGGTTAAAAAATGCTTGGTTCAATTTATATTTTTATTTAAAGGATTTGTTTGATAATGTAGTTAATAGTATATTTTCAAAGACCACTTTATGAATGTTTTTTTTTATTACTATCGTAAAAGAAAGTTGTATTTATTGCTAAATCTTGTTAGACAAAACTAATAAAAAAAATTATGTCCTACGCAAAACAATTAGATAATTATTTTACTTTTTCTATCCCAAATTAGGAAATAAGAATAAAACAATACTGTATGGGGGAAGAACTGCCAAAGGAACTTTGTTTCAAGATTACAATGTACATAATAAAATAAAAAATTTCAAATAAATGCACACATGGAGTTTTCTTTAAATCTAACATTGATTAAAAACTTTTTTTTTTAAATATATTGTACTCTATTGCGTTAACCGCGATCAGTTACATTAAAAGTTAAAACATAATTTAATGAACGAACATATTTTTATAAAGTGATACATCTGTTAATTTATTTCAATTTAAGTAAAACAGTTTTATTGTAATTATATTTTTGTTCAGAAATTACAATAAAAACATTGCTGTGGTTATTTCTAATATAAAAAACTATGTTGAAATTAAGTTACGTTAAAAAGTATCGTAAACGTCTAAATTTTTTTTTTTTTTAGTTATAATGATTTTTAGTATTCACAATTTTTAGTTTATATTACAACCAAGAAATATAATATAAATCTATTTTGAAGAGTATTCTACCACTAAACTAACTCAGCGAGTAATGTTAAAAAAGTTAATCGTAATATTCTTGATATAAGAAATAAACAGTATGCTAAATAATACATATTAAATGTATCTTATTGAAGGATATATTTGAATTCGACGTTTTTAATAGGTTATGATAAATCAATGTCAATTAATATATTATGAAAATAAAGTCACATCTGAGTCACATGAATATGAATTTAGGTTTTTAAAGTTTAAATAAATTGTTCTATTCTTCATATTAGTTAGATAAAGGTTAAGTAGAAAATTTTCAATTATTATATAACATAACAACAGAAAATTCTTCTAAAACATAGCATGTACCGTATTAGAATTTAGTTTTTAATAATTATTATTTAATATTCTGTAATTTATACTAATATTTTTTCGTAAAATCAAAAACTTGAATCATTGAAAAACTTTGTGGGATTGCGTCTAGTCAATATAATATAATGTATTATTTAAATCCACCACAAAGTTTCTAGGAGCGAGGGATGATTTTAAATTTAGAAAAAAATTAGATAATAAAGTTTTTTTTAAAACTTTTAAGCAGAATAATTTTCAAAATTCGTCATTGGAGAACCATCGAATTTTCTGCGACGAAGCGGGTCGCGTATTTGTTACGTTGTCAATTAACTAAAAGAAAAAAATAGATTAAAAAAAAATAATTCCACACTCACTGCAACGATTCTTTGGACTTGGATCGCAGCAGTGACTTATTGGTGCGTTTGTAAGCCAATGCGGACGTCACGGCCACCAACGTGACGATGAGTGCAGATCCGCAACCGAGCGCGAAAAAGAACGCGCCGTGTGCGGGCACCAATTCTTCAGGGGCGTCGCCTCGCTTCGACGATGTTGACGCGGTATCGGCGTCACCAGTAGCGATGACGGCGGTCACTGTTACCGCCGCGGCGTCCGCCATTGACTTCGCTACACTAGCCGTGGTCGCGGTCGGGCCTACGGCCGCCGAAGACATCTCGTGCGACCGCAACACTAGGGCGTTGTTGCCGTCATCAGGTTTGGTACGTTGCGGGGGTGGCGCCGGCTGCGCATGCTGTTGTTGCCCCATAGGCCCGTCTATCCGGTTCGTCTCCAGCGCATTATTATCCTTGCCTATGCCAAACAAATGCATCTTTACATTAGAGATCAACACGATATAAGTTGTAAAATTTTAATATTATCGGCACGTGCCGTAAGTGGGTATATATATATATATATATTTGACTATCCGTGATTATTTATGATTATAAATACCCCGTACCGTAAGAGCACAGACCTTTTGTAGTTTAAAATAATACAGTTTGTAACTAAATTATTTAAATCAAATACTGATTGTATACTATTTATATTGAAAATACAACGTAAATATGGAATACCTACACGAAGACGGTAATATTTTACTATGAACGCTCAGTATCTAATGACCGTAAGGGATCATTATAAAAATCGAAATGTTTTACTTCGTCGTAGAAATTTAACATATTTATTTATAGGATTATTCATTACATGATTCCGAGTGTTTAAGGTCAGCTAGGAACTAGCAGAGATTATGATATAAAATAACGGGATTTTTCTCATAAATTTTTCCAATAACTCTAATCATACAATCATTCTGTTTAAAAGGTCATTTATAAATTTTACATCCATCAATCTTTCATTTTTATTTAAAGGATTTAATACAGGTACAATGTCAATTCCACTAAATATTGTCTATTTATTCTACAAGCAATCATACAAAGAAATATTCTTTTATTATACGATTTTATTATATTGAGGTGGTTTTAATTAAATATTTTTAAATATTCCCCACACCCATGTTTTCTGTTCATGATGATGATTTTTTTTTAGAAATTAAACAAAAATTAAAATATTCAGGTTCATTTTTTTTGTTTCTAATAGAAAGTGTTAATATAATTTTCAGTTATTCCTTAACAGTTCTGTTTAATTTAAAATTGGAACACAGAATTTCAATTTTTTCCATAATGATTGAATCATAATTTATTTATTTTATGGTCAGTGACGCTTTTCTTCGAATTTACATTTAAATAATTGTCAGAATTTTAAGACTTATAAGTTCAACATGAGTTTAATGATGTTATTTCAATTATGAGTCTAACTTTTTTTTTAAGTGGCTTATGTTTTAAATAAGATACATCAGCGCAAATTGTTGTTTTCGCAAATTATTACGTTAAAAAACTTGGAATATAAAATATGTATACGAGTATAAGGTTAATTTAAGTACATTCTAACTACACTTAAAATTTCTAAAAATTTTATTATAATTACTTAAAAATTTCGAAATAAAGTTCTAACAATGTCAACTCCACTCAGAATCGTTTTTCGAATACTTTGCATTTATAGATAAAATAATTAATTATACAAATTATACCAAAATTAATTAAATTAAATTTGTCAGTACAAGTAATTAATTACATATATATCTTCAACTAGTGTGTTTGTTTTTACCTTAACAAATTATAGATAAGGTATTGTGATTTTCAATCATCACTAAAAACTACTTTAATTAAAATAAATTGTAATGTATTTATGATTATAAGGTGCGCGCGCCAAAAAAAAAAAAAAAATTTTATAAGAACCTGTTTTTTCTCTCCTGATGAAAGTTTCACATCGTTATGACGAACAATGTAAAGATAAAATTCATAATTTTTTAACATATATGTAAAGGGAAATGGGAAATCAATACAAATTTTTGTATATTTATATATTATGATTCCGTGTATAATAAAATAGTTATTGTTAGAAAAAAACTAGAACAAGATAGAGATGGGCAAAATGTTTGAAACATCGATGTTTGCCTTAATAAGTTATTAGAAAAATTGTATCTATGTTATATATGTGTATGTTATGTATAAATTATAAAATGTTTAAATAAATATGTTAATTAAACATCGGACTTCGAATTAGAAAAAAATCGATTTTTTTTTCAATACATCGCAATAAAAACATCGATGTAGGATTTTGATATATCGAACAAAAATATCGATGTTTTTAAAAAGATGTATTTTGCCCATCTCTAGAACAAGAACAATAAAAAAAATAGTTTTATTATTTAGTATATCTACAACATCTATCAATGAGTTGATGAGGTACACTATAGTATAGGACATTGGTTTAAAATAATGTAATATTTATCAACCTTAGTTTTACTTGACAAATAATAAAAAAAAACTTATTTATCATTTATATGTCAAATCATTAAGCATATTGTAGAATAAATCATTTTTCTTCTTATATATTAGATTATTATATTAAAATCCGAGATTCATTAAGCTCCAGCATTATTTTTATGTAAATTATGTATGTAAATTAAACGATTTGTTGAGGTAATTCATGCCACGAGTTAAATTAATTTTGTAAGCTCTGATTATTGTTATTCACCCACGAGGAAAATCAATTTGAATAGTCAAAATTTAATTTCGTGGTTTGCCAATATTTTATATTTTTATATCTGGTATAAATCAGTTTTAAAATAAATATGAGGTATTTAACATGTGTTTTTTCATAAATAATAAATATAAACTCAATATTTATTTAGGCATATTTGTAAAACGTTATGTTCGGATGTCATAATTAATACGAAAAAAAACAAATTATTATTTTTCGTGTGGAATGAACAGTATTGTGTTAAAATATATCAAACAATATTTGTGATATAAAACGTGGTGTTTCAATTTAATAACTTAATTTACAGTTTAACACGACATTTTATGGAATTTTGTTAACATAGATGTGCGAGATTAAAATCAGACAATAAAACCACCACTACCGAAATGCCGTGCTTGCATTAATTATCTACCTCTGTAGTTGCATCATAGTAATATTATAATAACATACATATTATATACAGAATATCTTATATTATTGTAGGCGTGTATCACTCATAAGTCGATAACAAAAACAATACAATAAAAATGGTAATAACATCCGTTCGACTTGGCGGTGTTTAATATGTAAATGTCATGTCGCGTACCTATACCTCGTACACCCTATATCGATTAACGTGTATGCATTTGAATGTTGTAATGGAAATTAAAACATCTAAGTGGGAATTGTTTTATGTATTTTCAAACAAGAGACATTTATTTGAACATATTATCGGCACGCGCGGCGGCTGCAGACCATAGTTTTAATAAATTAAATCGGTGGCAACTTATGCCCTCCCCTACCCACAACACTATATGCCGACGGATTAATTATTGAACAACCGAACACCACCACCACCCATACGTTAACCCGTTTTTCCACCCCTCACATGTACATCGAAATCCACCCCACCATCCCTTCTTATACCTAACCCGACGACGATACAATTGACCTGACGTAACTGCTACCGTTACCACCATCACCAGAAATTCCACTTCAAAGAGGTGTATTAATATATATATACTGTATACAGTTCAAATATACACTCATATACGTACATACTCACACACACACAAACATGTAAACTTATAATATGTACATATACACCTACAACTCACTCACACATGACTCGTACGTACACATATGTAATTTGAAATGCAAATCGACCGAATGTGCAATAGTGATCCTGGAAAGAAGGATGATATAGCATACACTGCGTTAATAAACACGCTGTCAGATAGTAGGCGTCCCAGAAACTTTTATATGGATTACTGCAACGGAAGTCTGAGTTGATATCAAGAATATATCGATTTTTTTTTCTTTCATACCCATCTGCGTATAAGTAGATCATATTCGTTGCGATCGTGTACGTTTTCAGTACACTAGAGCTACTTTATTTTTTCACGGAGTGGCCATATTGTATAATATTATTATCAGCGATATCACATATGATACATGTTTTGATACTGTTCTATAATAATATTATTAGAGAAATCAAGACATATAATACAAAATATAAATAAAATGTATTACCGATTCCGGGCTAAAACTAGACAGCTCCAATAGAAAATATAACTTAGATTTCTTTTTAAGATTTAATTATATATTAACTTGTTAGTATCCACTTTAATAAGAATTTCCAATATTCAAAATAAACATTTTACCATCATACTATAAAAAAATATAAAAAATATGATTTTTTTTTAAATTTAAAACAATATTCTTCTATAACTTGGTTATTCCACTGAATCTTTTAGTCTAGTTACAATGGAAATATTGATTTAATATCTCAGGGAAACAAGACAATGGAAAAATTACTTCATCAAATCAGTACATTTTTTTAATCAATTTAAAATTTTGGATAAGCCTCAATTACACTAGGCGAATTTACTCACTGCGACTTAACTCGCTCAATGTAGTAGGTCCAGTCGCTTAATTTCCACGTGTTGAATACTCGCTACTCGCTAGCAAATTAAGTTGATATCTGGGCTACTTAAGTCGCTACTCGCTAGCTAATTGACCAGTTCCGGTGAGTAAAATCGCTTTGTGTAATCGGCATGACTAGCAAAAACACTGGTGTGCTCGCGAATAGTCATGACTAGTTTCTTAAATTTTCATTACCAACCCTTCATTCTTGAAGTCTGTATACAACTTCTAAAACATCTAATTTTTTAATTTTATATTCAAATAGTTCTTATATTTTATGTTTCAAAGTAACGATTACTTAACCTTACCTAACCTAACAATAATGTTCGTATATTTTTAAATAATCAACAATATTATTGCAATTCCCCTTCATAATTTCAAAATTTAAAATTTAAAATAAAACATATACTTCACTATTTACATTAATAATTAATGTCATGAATGATTTAACTTTTTACATGGTGAAAGAATGAATAAGAAAAATTGTCTAAATTTTCCAAACATAATATGATACTCGGATACATTTCTTCATTTCTGACTATATAAAAACAGTGATATCATAGATAGACTCAAGGTGAGAGGAGTAAATGAGCAATAGTTAAATAAAATGTTCATTGTTATTACCAATTATTGAATCCAAGAGCATATCCGTGGTCTTCAAGCATATCTTATTCCGCCGGAATACCAACGACACGTCACCGTGTTTACGATTGACAGCGGTAATATTTAGGGTGAGCAACACACGTACTTCGGCATTCACTACCCCAGTGCAATGTAATTTAAGCCGGAACACCTGGACATGAGATGGCACCCACCCCGACTCAGGAATGTCCAGTTCCGGTTTCTTCAACGCAATACCGTTATTGGATTCTATGTTCCATGTGTACGGCAGCTGTAAAATGGTAATTAATTATTGTCTCAACACTCAAAATATATTATTATTATTAAGTGTATAATATTATCCCTTTAAAAAGAATATTTTACGAACCATATGCGTATAACACATGTGTTTATACTCAGGGTCTGATTAACCAATAGGATGAGTAAGCTACAGCCTATGACGCCAATCGGCCAATGTTAAATTGGGTGCGCCACAAAATAATTTTTAATTTGAATGTAGAACGTTTGCACAATATATACTTCAAATAAAGGTAATTTTTTTAACGGTTCTCCTAATATATCAGCATTCAGCACATAATATTAAATTTTCATTCTTAATCTTATAATATAATCCATATTATGGAATTTGAGAGAAAATAATAAATATAATACAATTTAAAATTAAATATTTGCGATAACGTTTTATTACATCTAGGTCGTAATAATTGTGTTTTATCGTAGCCTATGTAGAATATTTCTGGTTTTACCATAGTGATAGGTTTATTAATAGGTAACGGACAAGTGAGCGATAAATATTACTTAAATATTTCATATCTCAAAGATAAAAATGATAGACAATAATTAATTGCGACGGCATAAAGCGGCCCATATACGGTCAATAATATTGATGAATATTTGATATTGTTAATAATATTGATCGTGTATTAGCAGTATTGAAGGATTGATAAATAGTATTGAACAAATTAAAAATATTTGATTTTTCATGGACGCACTGTCAATAATATTGTACATTGGTAACACTGTTCAATAATATTGACAATACTACAGGATAGCAAAACATTCGAAATTGATATTTATGAATCGTAAATAATAACAATGTTCTGCCATTTTTGTAATGATAACTGTGATTCTGTAAAAAAGTGGAAATAAATTGTAATTAATAACGGTTAAAAATGAGTTAACTTTGTTGGGTCTGTACTTAGTATTCCTCAGTTGTCATGTACTTGTGTATGTTAAATCAGTATTATGATATTGTAAACGATTGTCAATCATATTATTATGTGAAATATAATATATAAAGAAACTCAGTACATATTATTATCAAAAACAACTACCATACAGCCTCCAATAACCGTACTACCATATATAATTTATTGTCCGCACTTTTCTACTTATTAAATATCCGGCTCCAATACACTTAAGAAAAATATTCAAATTAATTTGGTACAACTATTTATTATAGCACATGGATGGAAGTTATGAAATTCAAATAACTAGTACGGGCAGGAACATTTCAATTTAATCATCCGTTTCAGTGATCTAGTGATCACTAAAACTACTTTGCATTGAAATAAATTAATATAAGTTAATGAAAAATTGTTTGTGGAAAAAACTATTTGCTAAAACTAAAATTTTTAAATTTTAGGTAACTGTGGAAAGTTTGAAAACAGCAGTAAAAAAAAAAAAAAGTAGCAAAGCTTTAACGGTTCTTAAAACTGGTTGATGTAGTATTTATAACATATTTCTAACATAATTCAACGCCGAAAAAAGGGATGGAATTTTTCATAGATGCGAGACTTGAAAAACAATATCGCCATTTACGAGAAGATCGTACCCTTTGGATTCCTTGTTATGCATGGTGACCCTCACCTCGGGTTGATATTTAGGAATATGAAAAATAAAACCGACAGTAATCCGGGATAATAATGACTGGTGAGGCAAGACGAACGGTTTGACATGGGATTTAGATTTGAGTCCAATTATCATTATTGTGAAAGGTATCACGGCAGCACGTATGCATGTAGGGAGCGTTGTCTGTATTGGTGCGTTTCAAAAGGGACGAATATTTACACGAGGCAAAAATACCGTAAATCCTGCACCGTTATTTTAATTCGCTCAAACCTGAACACCTATCTACGCGTGCGTATCATGGGAGGGGGACACGGGAATTATTATGATTCGTCAACCGGAGTGCGCGATTCATCGACTTCATATACTGTGAAGTTTCGAGATGACAGCACGCACATGTAACACACTTTCGCGGTGCAACAATAGTATTTTAGGGCTAAACATTACATACATTTATAATGCACACATGCGCGTACGTACATAGGTAGGTGTAAATTTTTTCCGCACCTATACACGTGGGGACTTATATTATATGGCATCTTTCCCCATACAACTCAAGCTTAAAGCGATTACAAAAGCTTCTTTGCACGAGTATGTTGTATGTATATATTATGTATATAGTGACTGAACAGCGCGTGGACCCGTGTGAATGTAAGTTTCCCGAGATTTCCGACCCTGTTTCTGACACATGTGTCACACGCGGCGTGCCAAATCCTCCACGCCTGTTCCTACACATGCACACACTCGCAATACATACAAACATATATTTATATACATGTACACACACGCAGTGTGAATAGACCATTGTAGTATCCCTTTTGCACCACTACAGTACCTCTACCCGTCTTTCTACTGGCAACTTTACCACTCGTTGTCCTACGGTCGTACACAAAACCCGACGCCGGCAAAGAGACGACCTTTATGTAAATAAACCCCAAAGTCGCTTGTGGCTGTCACGAAACGTAACTGAATGTTTGTCTCTGGCGGCGCCCACTTGCCCAAAGCCGTTGTACGTATCTATTTGTTTTTAACCACTTTTTATTATATTTTTTTTCCTGAGCTTGTGTATATGCTTTTTTTCATCCTCCCCCTTCCCGATTTCAAATTTACGACATCAAAAATACTTTTATCTCTTTCCCGTTCGACGTCACCCTGCCTTTTTCTTCTTTTCATCCCTAGCATTGCTCAATAAAACATTTTACCGCCCAACTTCATCGAAATCCCCCAGATCTTGACGAAAAATCTCAATTGAATAACACTTATTTATATTTAAATGATAAAACTACAAATTAATATACGTACTTATGTTGTTATTATTTTAAATAACAAACCATCTGACTAATTTTTATTTAATTTTTTTTAATTTTTCAATCAAACTTATAATGCAAATAGTAAATTATTATCTGATACTCGTACATGAATGATAAAATACGTTATACAAATTTGCACCTCATCATAATTATACAAATATTTTACATTCATACTCACTTAAATTTGATGTACAGAGAAACCTCTCTTAACGGATATCTTTAATTAGTGAACACTTTTTAATAACGGACACATTTTCCGGTCTCAGCGCAACTTTTTTGAAATTAATACATTATATGAGTACTCATTTATATAGTGGAGACCTCTGTTTAATAAATGTGGATATCACTCAGGTTTCTGATACCTTTGAATACCTTCGAATTATACATATATATATATGTATAGATCATTTAAATTATTTATATAAGGCCATATCTGAGGGGAGGGGATCCATAGAATCCAAATAATTACCAAAATTATTTAATATTTTTACAAATCATTTATGTTTGGATCACAATATGTGTTTTGTCAGTTACCAAATTATACAGTCCGGATCAACCACAATCAAGAAGAGTTATGCGTTTTATCAGTAACTGATTTAATGTTGATACCGGTGAGATTAAATATCGTGTCTCAAGATACGGTTTCCAAGCTGCGGCTGGCCATAACGACCAACCGCAACGACTAAACACTGATTGTCGACTGGTTTTCTAAAATACGACAACATTTTGCGGCCAGAGTTCATTTTTTTTAATATTGTGTAGACTCTATATTGTAAAGTACAGACGTGTTATTTGATAAATCATTTTTTTCTTATAATAATTATTGTTAACAAAGATAGAGGAAATCATCGATTATTTCAATTCATAATTTATATTTACTTATGATTCACTTTCTACATTTTATTTTATTTTATTTGACTTGTTTTAATTGCGCATGCTATTATTTACAAAAAAATGAATAAATATTTTTTTTTTACCTTTTTAAATTTATTAAATATCTTAGACCCTTCCTTGAAAAAAAATCTATATACAGCCTTGTATATGGAAACTCCGCACATTCGTGTAGAACACGAAAAGGTTGCAAAGGTTATACTATTAATAGTAAAAATTAATCGGAAAAATAAGGGTTTTTTTGACAACACATAAAAGAAAAACATTCAATTGGAAACAGCACAAATGCTTGTAAAATGTATTAAATATGTTGAAAATTTGATTACATTTTTTTTGATAAACATGAAATCAATTAGGTTTATAATTATGGACACAAGTCATATAATAATATTTAACTGCATAAAATTGATTCACATTGGATTTCTACAATACAGAGTATACTAATGTAATATACATGCAATACACGTGTAAACAATATACTGTATTGATTCTATAGGATATACGCAATACCTTGTTGACGTATACATTCACTTTACGTTGTTTAATCATGATTTAATGGAAGTTCTAAGGAATTTATTGTTTTTGAAATTCAAGAAGTAACTCTCTTATACTTTAAAAGTCTTTTGACCAAGGTCTCAAAAACAATTTTCATCAACCTGAATACTGAAAAAAGTACGTTTTGTATACTTGTAATTAACTTTTACGAACGAATTAATTAATTTTAATCAACTATGCAAAAATGTTCCTTTCAACGTTGCAAATATAATGTAAAAAATATTGACATTTGTAAATCAATTATTCATGACGTCCTACAATGAAATTATAGTTAATTGTTAATATATACTAAACCTGAATCAAGCAGACTTTTAATTAGCAAACATTTTTTAATTAATGATTATTAATATCATATAGTATACATAATATTATGCTTAAGGTCAGTAACCTATTTTTTCACCAATGTTTCGTGTTGACAGATAAATGTATAAAAAAAATGAAGAAAATTGGTAACTAGTTAAATTTATAGTGAACAAAATATAAGTATCCGAGTAAATAATTAATGTTATGATACGACACATTTATAGAAAATATCAACAGTTATTTTATAAAAAAAAATTACTCCAGTACATGGAGTTAAAGCGAATTATAGACATAACTTATTCTTTCCTTCATCAGAGTAATTAATATAAATATTAATTACAAGTTTATATTCATTCGATACAGT